TATTGTGCACCCATGATCCAGTATCACACACCCACGACCCAGCCACCTCCCCCAAAGCCCCACTTATGAGTGTATGAGGCTTTGAGGGGGACATGGAAATATAGGCCACAGTAGAAGTCTTACGGCCCTTGACAGTGAACTGTCAATACCAAATTTTCTGCTGGGGTAGTTCTGACATTCCTGTAATCCCAGCACTTGGGAGGTTGAGGCAAGAGGATCTCCGTGAGTTTGAGGTCAGCCTGGGCTACATAGTGAGTTCAAGCCAACCTGAACTACACATAGCAAAACCCTGTCTCAAAAAACCAAAAAGAAAAACAAAACAAAAACCCACAAATGTTCTTACAGGAAAATGTTTTGAGTGTCAGGTCTTTATGCCCCAGTGTGACAGTGGATCTGTAGTTGTGAGTGCAGGTAATACGCCCATTTTAAAAAAAATTACTTGGACTCTCAGCTGTGACCCTATTTTAAAAAATTATATTGAATAAATAATATCTGTAAGTATAAAACTGGGTGTTGGCTCCTTTTGCTTAGAACTCTTATTCATGACTAGAAAGCAAAGCCAATTTGCTAATTATTTAATTCTAACTGTAAATAAATGTACAAAATAAATGCAAAGCCACGATACTGTTTGGCTCGACTGTGACTAGGTGCTGTAGCACTTCTTCACCTGGGCATCTGCGTTCGGGGTGACTGGCTCCTCCTTCCCTGGGCGGAGTCGGAGCTACTTTGACAGTCAGTGCGGTGTGCAGACAGTTACTTTGTCTCCACCCGGGGAGCTGAGTTACTTCATGTGAAGTCTTCTAGCTCAGCTTCCTCACACTTTCGTGGGCCCCAGACGCCCTGGGGATCTTGTTCACTGCAGATCCCGGTCCTGACTCAGTTAATCTCGCACAGATGGAAACGCTGCCTTTCTCAGAAGCCCCAGTTGTTTAGGTGGCAAGGCTCAGCCCGACGACTGGAGCCGCACCACGTGGCTCGGGTGACTGCCGGCCCAGGGCAGCGGTGGCGCTGACCTCTAGTGGTCGCAGCTGGTCAGAAGGTGGTCAGTGCAGGTAGTATAAATCAATTTTTGACCACTGAAATCTGAAAGCGGGGAAACATTCATGAAGCGAGCTGGCAGAGTCTGCCAGATGGAAGGCCACGGCAGGAGCGGGCAGGTGGCCGCACAAGGCCCGCACAGGCGGCGGCGCCTCCTTTGCCGGGCTGCCGGCAAACATCCGAGGTTGGTGCCCCTGGCATTTGGTTGCCTCCTTCTAGCGCCCAGCCACTCTGTATGCTTTGTGACGGTGCCGAGGAAGGGAGAAGGACGACGCAGGAAGAGCTCGGCTTGAGCGTGAGCAGGAGGCGGCGCGCGCACGCGGCCCGAGGCGGGGAGGGAGGCTGCGCGCAGCGGCCAGCTGTGCCGTGCCGGCCCTGCCCCCCAGGCCGACCTCCCCCACGCTCAGCCAGATGCTGACCAGCTCCTTCAGGGGTGTCTGGGGTCCTCGGTGCTCTCCTTCCTCCTTTGCCTCATGCGATATGATAGCGCGGGTTTATGAATATTTCAAAAGCAAAATGACACGTGGTGCCTTGCTTATACGGGAGCAGTTATCTGAGAGGGCGTGATTGATCTGAGCTGGGGCCGTACCCGCTCGGCCGGCCCTGATGGCTACGCTGGTGGTATTATTTGAGAATGATCTCTCGGGGGCCTGTGGGTGCACACCAGTGAGTAGCAGATGTGTTTATTGATGTCTTGCTCCTAAAACTTACCTGCCAGAAGAGCTTAGCTCCTATGGAGAGGGCCGTGTGGCGGGGCAGTTCTTAAGCCTTTTGTGATTGTAAAACCAGAGAACGTTAACACTGAAAGAACTGCAGGGGTCCTTTAATCGGTTGTGATTTTATAAGTGGAATAAGGTTAATCTAGTGCAGTAGCTCCTAAGTGACAGGAGTTTTCACCAGAGTTCTACCAAAATGAAAAAAAAAAGTCAGCTGCAGTGGGTTTTCCACAAAGCTGTATATGTATTCAGTTTGAAAACTTGTCCTGAAATTATTTATGTTTTTGAAATTTGGGGGTTTAAAAATACCTGGTCTTTCATGAAATGATGGTGTCAGTCAGTAGCGCAGCGCACACCCGGCAGCCCGTGTCTGCCCCAGTGCTGGGAGCGGAGTGTTTTGCTCAGTTCTTAAAGCCCCGCCTGGGACCCACGGATGTAAGGTGTCCACCTGGAGCCTGTGGCTCTTGCATGCCCGGGTCCTCTCGACGCTGAGCTGGCTCCGGCCTGGTGTTATGAACTGTTCTGCAGCTGTCCGTGTCTGATTAGCAGCCCGAAGCCTCCGTGCTGTCACAGGGGTCTCCTGAGAGTCCGGGACACTCGGTTTCCAGAGCTGGGGCCACTATTCACAGACAGCCTGGGAGCCCTGGCCCCAAGCTTTGCTGCTCGCAGAAATCACCGGGAGAGCTTTATAACCCAAGGCCCAGCCCATACCCTGCCAGTTAACTCAGAAGGCCTGGGAGTGGGCCCCTGCTGGATCCCGCAGGGAATCTTTGTCCTGGGTTCCTGCAGCTAGTCCGCCGCAGGGAGCTTCTTTCCCGGAGGCAGACACGGGGCTGCTGGCCTGTCCCCTCTGCTGGTGATGCCTGCTGTGCTGCTCCAGCGTGTCAGGAAAGAGCTGGTGCAAGCTGACACCTACGTGCAGAGACCACACGCAGGGCCCCGTGGCTTGTGGGATTATCCACCAGACCGAGCGCAGATGGAGTGGCTGGGGCTCTGCAGCATTTGTTTGTCTGCATGGAAGTGGAAGCAGGGAGTCCCGCAGGCACAGGGAGACGACGGGCCGCGGGGCCAGCGCGTCCAGAGAGCCCACCGGAGCGCCGCTCAGACCGAGGCAGAGCGAAGCGGGAGGGCTAGAGAAGCCGGGCGCCATGTGCCCTCCACCTCGTCCGCCTCCCCTCCCTCTCCAGGGGATCCCGCCCCGCGCGGGGACCCAGAGCGTCCTCGTCCTCGCGCCCACAGGCCCCCGCACCCCTCCCGCTCGGACCTGCGCAGCTGCTCTTCCAAGCTGGAAGCACCTGGAGCCGCCTCTCTCGGGGTGTGCCTCGCTGCCTCGCAGTGCTCTGCCTGCCAGGAGCACCGGCCTGCGCCGATTCCCGCGCCGATTCCCTCCCCGGAGCGCGTCACCATCCCTCCCCCCGCCCTCACCGCCTGGCACCTCCGGACCACGTCCTCCTGGAGCGGGCTCGCTGCCCAGCGCCTGCCCGCTCAGCCCGTTGCTTCGGGAGCTCCCACGAGGCCTCCAGGTGCGCCCTCCCCTGCACGCCCGCCTGTGGGCCTTCCTCCCGGCGGTGCTGCAGACCCAGCCACCCGTCGACTTCCCTTCCTGCGTGGACAGGGCTTTGGGCAAGGACCGGAAGTACGTGCGTTGGTCTGGACTCCTGCTTCTTGCTCTTTGCTCATGGGCGTGGTGCACTGGTTCTCAGTGCTGCCCTCGACCCGCTACTCAGCGCTCAAGGGCAAGGCCTGTCTCCTCACCAGCTCGGCCTCCCCTGCAGGCCCCTGCCTGCATGGCAGGGTGTTCAGCACCTGCTTGTGTGCAGGTTGATTTAAAATTCTGTGGCGCTGCATGCCTGTAATCCCAGCATTTGGGAGGCTGAGGCAGGAGAACTGCAATTTTGAGTCCTACCTGGGCAATTTAGTAGACCCTGTCTCAAAATAAAAAGGGCTGAGGATGCACCTATGTGAGAACGTAATTATGTGAGAGGGCCTGGATTCAGTCCCCAGGAGCGCCTAGTGAGGAGACAGATGGGAGGGACCCCTGAGGATGGAGCGCTGGCTGGCTTGTGCCAGGCCAGTTCAGTACCTAGCACCACAAGACAAGCAAGCAGCCCCCACATTTTAAGATCCTTTCTTATAGCAAGAGAATGAAGACCAGTATTTCCACAGAGAGAAGGGAAACCTGAGAGAAGAATTTGCGAAAGTCTTCCACAATCGGGAGTTTGATACGTGGGCTGACCTCCCAGGGGCTGACCGGCGTAGCAGCGTTGCGTCGGTGCTGGGTAGTACGCGGAGCGCAGCGTGTGGGGTGAGAGCGCGCTCTCTGGCCACCGAGTCTCTCTGGGCCCCTCTCCCCGTTAGAGGGTGCTGTTTGTGTCTGCGTCGTAGAGTTGGGTGCACTTGGTGAATGCATACACTCTGAAGCGTTGCTCCATTTCAGCAAGCCATGGCCGCCTGCGAGGGAGGCGCCACGGGCCGCCCTTTGGGCGAGGTGGCTGTGGGCAGCCTGAGCAGGAGCTGCCCCAGCCCGCGGCGAGGCCCTTGCGAAAGCCCAGGGAGCGCCTGCTGCACACCTTCCCTGGGCCGATCACGAAGACCGTGGGGCCACCGGGGTGGACCAGGCGGGGTCTGTCCCAGGACTGGCGGCGTGGGGAGAGGGTGCGGGATGAGAAAGGGAAGAGGGGTGCGGGCTGGGCGGAGGCGCAGAGGCCGGTTTGAGGGAAGGAGCCTTTCTCAGGCGCTTTTCCAGGACGTCGAGGGGAGTCTTACGGGCAGGTGCACCCGGGCATCTGGGCAAGGCCCTGGCCGCCTGGCAGCTGGCACTAGGTCAGAGCGCTGTGATCAGGACACCGGAGTGAGCTGTGTACCCAAGCCGGTGCATCCTTCTGGGGCGTGTGGTCATGCTGACCTTTGACCCTGGCTCTGCCCCAGCCCAGACTCCGAGGGCAGCGGGGCAGCAGCTCCCGGCGCAGCTCCTGCTGGCGCTGGAGCCACATCTTTCTATTAGGAGGCCACTTGGAGCCGCCTCGGGCTAAGGGTACTGGGAAACACTGAGTGGGCACGCAGGTACTACCCATCAGGCTTTGCAGGCCCGTCTGCATGTCCAGCCAAATCCAGTGCTCCTCATTAGGGCTGATTAACCCGCTGCGTGGGGAAGGAACTTAGACAGAACCCCGGAGAACCGTGTTCCTAGGGAGCGGGGAAATGGACCGTGCAAGCCGGCTGAAAGCGCCCCTTTTCTTCCCTCAGGGGAAGGTGGAAGTGGAGGCTGGGAAGGAAGGCATGAAGTTTGAAGCGAGCGCGTTCTCCTACTACGGCGTGATGGCCCTCACGGCGTCTCCAGGTGAGTGTGCAGCGTCCAGAGAGCCAGGCCCCGGTGCGGCCGGCTCGCGGTCTCCGCGCTGACCCCGCTGCGTGCTGTCCGGCGCCTTCGGGGCTGTGTACCCTCGACTCCGAAGCTGCGCGGGCGCGGAGAGTGCGCCTTCGTGGGCTTGCGCAGGCTGAGCGGGCCGTGC